CGTAACTTTATTATTACAAAAAGTGTTACATAGAAATATAGTGTAATATTTTTATCACACAAAACCTCAAAGCCAAATGTTAGTGGACAAAACAAATGTTTAATAATTATTGAAGCCAAATTTTATTGCTACCTGTTTCTTGTTCCTCTCCATGATCTATATCTGAATTATCTTCGGCCTTTTCGCCTGCCGATGTGTCGACACAAAATGCAGGACGAACATTTGGTCTGTGACCGATAATGTCGTTCAACCGTTGGAAGAATTTCCAAGGTTTTGCTCGGCCTTTTCCACTTTTCTTTGCACTGTCGACTTCTTTTTTGAAGCGTTGCCTCAGCTTTTTCATCTTATTAACGACGTTTTCGAGTGTGTAGTCAGTGAAACCTTTTTTGTGCAATTCCAACTGCAATGTAGAATATAAAATATTTTGTTTTTACACAACTTTTTTCAATGTATTAAACTCCAAAAACTTACCGTGATTGTTCGATAAGTAGCTCTCATTTCTTTTGACGATTTACAGGTTTCCAAAGATATTCGAATCTCTTCTTCCTGCCAAATATTCAGCAATGCAATTGCTGCAGTATCGGGCCAAGTTATTCCTCTGTTTGTCCTTTTCTTTTTCCCTTCGTCTTTTTCCGCCATTTTGACGCTCGCAAAGCGCATGCTCACACAACAACTTTTTGGCACGGCACGGCATTTTGCCGTGCCGAGACTACCTATATAGCAGGTCTCGGCACGGGTAAAAATATGGCACGGGTGCCCAAAATAAAAAAGGCCCGATCTATTTACACTACAAAAACAAACGTGCCGTGCAAAAAAAAAAATGGCACCCATGCCATTTTTCACCCGTGCCGTGCCATTTTTTTGCCAGTGTAAATGGGGCTTAAATTACCACCTTCGATGCGATAATCCAAAGGAATAGTCTACTATCATACCAATTAATGTATCTAAATTTCAGCAAACCCTATTCATTACAACCATTACTCGCTTGGATGGAGATTTATTATATAGAAGCACTTACCTGATAAATAAGTATCCACTACCACAAACCAAAGCGGAAGCCAAGCAACTATCAGTTGTTTGTATTCTGATAACTATAGGAACTGTATCGACCACCAAGCAGTAGTATAGGTTGACAAATGCAATCACAACACTTTATACTCAAACATAAACTTTAGTAAAGTCAGAAAAATGTGAAAAGCTCTGTGCCGAATGAAGATATGTATGTAATGTTTAGCAATGATCGACATGCTTTGAAGCGAGACCCGCAAAATTTCTAAAGCTCAGTGGGAATCGGACAAATTTTGGTTTTTACTTTGATTCTTATTCAAATATGTTCACCTTGTTTAACGTTCAGGAATTTGCTTCCATAAGCGGCTTTTCTGGCTTTCCCTTTTTCTACAATTAAATTTACAATCTGGTAATCGCATGTTCCTAATTTTGAGATCTTTTGACATGAGAGTTATTTTATAGGCTAAGAAGAACGATTAAGGCACATTTATACACCGCAGAATTTTTTTGTACGGTTCGTGTAAAAATTCCTTCGTTGAAATTGGCACCAAGCCTGGCGCGGTTTTGTTGTCTTTAATCCCAAGAGATTGGTTGCAGTTCATCTACAGGGTGTATCAAAACAAACGAGATCTTTAGAAATCAAGCTGTTGTTGCTGAATCTTCTATACTTATATAAGCTTACAAAGGAGCATAACTGCATAAAAAATTTAAATGTCAAATTGATAATTAGTCATCAGTTCGAATAAAAATGGTTGAACTGACCACATGCATGCAGAGCGACGAGTTTTTAATACTGTTTTAAGCGATGACAGTTAAATTAATCAGCACATTCATATGTTGGACGAAACCAAATTAATTTTAAAGTTTTAAATAACTTCGTCGTGCATGAAATTCACTTCTATTACCGAGCGTTCGGCATACTGCTTTGCATTTAAATTCCAACAATAGCTTGACTTCTAAACGACTCGTTTTTTTTATATACCTTGACCTTGTGTTCATAACGTCACGAACAGTGCCAAAACAATTGAAGAATGTCGACAGTCGGCATATAGAGAACAGTGGAATTTTTAAAACAATGAAATCACAATATATCATTGAATTGTGCTTGGATAAATTATTGCTAAAGAGTAAAGTAAATTGTGCAAAGACCATTTCGTTGCATAATTAAACAACTTCATTAAGTTAAACGTTTAATTTAATTAAACATTTAATTAAACGTTTTCAATTATAATTTGCATTTCTATAGTCATCAATCCTACTATACAGGGTGTCCCAAAAAAACGAAAACTATTGAAATCACCAATAACAATTTAAGAGGCAGTCCGTGTAAAAAACGACCACTCGAATTTCTTAAGATTACAGATTTCCTTCAAACTTTCTGTGTGGAAGAAGTCATTCATAAAATGAACAAAAAACGTTGACTTTGAAATTGTAGTCAGTTTTAAAAAATTTTTTCGCAATTATTTTCGGAGGCGTTCGAAAACAAGTTAAAACGTTTACTTAATTACGCAAGTGATATTTGAGCTTTTTTATATCTCGCAGTTCGTCTCGCGCTTTTATTCTAACTTCTTGAAACTTACATATTTTATTATTTCCTGCCTAGGCATAAACGTAAACTAAAAATTATCCTGATCACTTGAAGCAAACTAAATATTGTGTATTTTTAAAAACGTCTTTCAGACAGCGGATTAAATATTCGTGTTAGTATGCTGGCGGTAAATAATTTTTTCTCAAAAGTGCAACGGTATCAGGTATCCAATCTATTGCAGCTACTGAGTATTATGACACATCTACTACAATAAATAATAAAATCTTTGGGCAGTGTGTTTTTCGCCTGACCAGCGCGTCATGAATATAGTCAATTTTCGCTAATTCCTCTAATTATAAGCTATAATTTCTTTTTGTATTTACTTAAATTTTTCGCGTTAAAAAATACAAAACTGTTTACTGTTTCAAATATGGCTGTTTTTTGGATAGAGAGTAAGTTATAAATATGCCAGCAATTATATATGCTTGAAATTTTACGAGTATGGGTATCAATAAATACTACATGCATGGTATATATATAAACAAAAATGTATAAGAAAAGTGCGGGAAAGGATATCTGATGTGTGCCAATTTATAGGAATGCCTTGAAGGGCACTTTTTTTCTCATCATAGACATAGTGCAGATTTATTTTGCCACTATAAAATGAAACAAATATACATGTTTAATATTTTCATGTTTTTTAAGAACTGCAATTACATGCTGATCTCGGTTAAGGTCCTGTCACACTATTGCGTATGAGAAAAACGTAGCGTAAACCATGCATGTGCATGCATATGTTCGCATACTCGAAACATTTTTAACCATGCTTACCTTGCATGGTTCCCCGATTTTTAAATAGACACCTTTATACGATTTAGGACAGCAACGGCCACAAATACAATAAATAATTAAAAATAATTCAATAATTGCAATATATGAATAATTTACACATTGTCCTCGCTTTGTTTACAACGCCAAATGACAGATTTTCACGTCTTGATACAACGGCTGCATTTCAAGCCGCAACAAGTGCAACTTCAAACCGGCTTCAGCAGAACAGTCTTCCCAAAAAACCCATTAAATTCATACGATTGTATTAAATTCATACGATTGCTAATATACCACGTTGTCTTTAGGCCACTATTTGCTGTATATTAGTTTCTCATCCCCGCCCGCATGCTTTTTAAGAAAATGGCCTTGTTCGCCATTATTATTGCCATTTTTGACCATTATTATAAATTTGTGATGTCTTCAAAGTGAAATTTGAAAGAAAGACAATTAGAAACGTTCCCAAACCAAATGTTATAGTTAAAATACAAAATTTCATAACCAAACTGCAAGTTTTTCCCGCATTACGTATACACACTTATTAAATATCCAAACTCAGCTAATATATAAAAGTTCTTCCGGAAGCCAGGGGCAGGGGAGGAAAAGGCCGTTCTGGGTACAAAATTATGAAAACATGCTTTCAGTTGCACTTACTGATTTTGTGCTGTTTTTCAGAAAGTTGCTATATAAATGCTTAATGCGCACTTCTCCAAAATAAATTTTATGGGGAGGGGAAATCCAGCAAATAATGGCATAATGCTATTGGCCCGCCAGCCCGCATCCACTTTAGGAGAAGCTCCGGATGAGAAACTAATATACAACAAATAGTGGGCTGTAATACTACCATTTATTTGAGGGAGTTTGTTTTGGCCTTCGTCGTCGCGTTGCCGTCCTAAAATCGTAAGGCTTCTAATAACCCCTCCGTGCGATCGTTAAACCACTTGCCGTTAGATGCCTCTATATATACACCCTTTAGTTACTGCTTCGCCCTTTCAGAGAGATTACGACATGCAGTCTTGGTTCATTTGTTTGAGAATAAGTTTCACTTTCACTTAATATATACGCTTACTAGCCTACATGTTTCGTCGGTTTTAATATAGCCTAATAGCTCAAAGCAACAAGAAAGAAATTCGTTTTTTACATCAAAACGTTTTTGTATACCCAACCATGCATGTGTTAAAGTTGATTGTTTATAGATTCTAATTTCGTACCTTGTCTCTCTATGAGAGCAATATAAATGTATAGTAGTACACTCATAGGAGTACGGGATTCATATATCTATTCAGTGGAGGAGCTGTGGTCTATATTGCCGAAAATATTTGGGCCCATTTCTTGACTTTTCTTTGGGGGATTTTACCCTCCACCCTCCCCCGAATTCAACAAGTTAAGATTGTAATGATTTTACGATATAAATATACTGTTACGAAAGCGAAGAAAAACTTGAAATTACGCGTTGACCGACTTCAAGCGATGACGGGGATTATATATGACATACACGTATATGAACCGCTTTTCACGCGAAAAACATTACTCTCTAATAAATTGTATAATATACTTTCTTCTAATATTCTCTTCTGTTAGATGTGTACATTCGGAGGAAATCGGTGCATATAGTTTTAGTTACCAAGATCAGTATGTTTACAGTGCTTTCATACACTGATAAATAATAAAAAGATAATACCGGCGGATAAAATTAGCAACGCGTGCATGTCAATTTCAGTCGGCACATGCGTCAAGACTTTTGCTCTATGTTATAAAGCTAGCAGCATAAATGCTGGCATATTTATAACTTAGTCTCTATCCAAAAAACAGCCATATTTGAAAGATAGTGAACAATTTTGTATGTTTTTAACGCGAAAAATTTAAGTAAATGCATTAACAAATTATAGCTTATAATTAGTCGAATTAGCGAAAATTGACTATATTCATGACGCGCTTGTCAGGCAAAAAACATACTGCCCAAAGATTTTATTATTTATTGTAGTAGATGTGTTATAATACTCAGTAGCTGCAATAGATTGGATACCTGATACCGTTGCACTTTTGAGAAAAAATAATTTACCGCCAGCATACTATTAACACGAATATTTAATCCACTGTCTGAACGACGTTTTTAAAAATGCACAATATTTAGTTTGCTTCAAGTGATCAGGATAATTTTTAGTTTAGGTTGATGCCTAGGCAGGAAATAATAAAATATGTAACGGTTTCAAGAAGTTAGAATAAAAGCGCGAGATGAACTGTGAGATATAAAAAAGCTCAAATATCACTTGCG